CGCGGCCTCTAGGGTCCTCGTCACTGGGGCCAGGGGTCCTATTGCCCTCGCCCACGCGCAAATGAATAACAAAAAAAAAGAGAAGGGTAAGGAGATGACTCCTACCTTTTTGCGCAGGTGTATCCAAAAATCCACGCTGGGGCAGCGGCGACAACTCTCCACGCAGGCACACAATACAGTACACAAGCACGCAATACAGAAAAAAAAAGCAATAAAAACGGAACGCACTACTATTAACAAAGAAAAACTGAGACGCAAAAAAAAGAAAAATACAAAAGAAAGAGAACGGACTTGGGCTAAAGCGAGGGGTTGTGGCGAAAAACTTCTCTAGCATGCGGCGGCTCGCTAGCTTCTCTCCTTCCTCGTGATCTTCTTCCCCGGTTCGCGGTATTCCCCCACCCCGAGGATTTCGGCGTCGAGGATGGGCCATTCCGTGGTGACGTTCGGTGGCCAGGTCCTGGGGCCCTCTCGAGGTGACAGTTGGGGGTGGCTCGTCCCCAGGCCTGGCGTTTCCTGGTGGTCGGCTGCAGGTCGCCCCCGCGGAGGATGACGGGGTGGCGCCGCGACCGGACAGCCGATGTCTTCTTTGGTGGACCCATCCCGCGCATCCGTCGCTCAGGGAGAGGTTCCTCCGCGACCGGGGACGACGACGGCTCCTTCCTGGGGGCTAGAGGGTAGAAGGGGGTGGAGGAAGACGTGGCGTCCGAAGTAAAAAAAACGGGGCACACTCTCACTCTCTCTCTCTCTCTCGTTCCTGCCCCAGCGGCAAGGGGTCCGCTTGGGCGGAGGAGTGGGGCCGGCAATTCGGGAGGATCCTCGTAACGAGGCATAACAACCAAAGAAAAAGAAGGTTAATCAACATAGTGAAAATATGCCTCGTTACAATGTATTGAATTATATAAACTTACTATATCTATCTTACAAAATATATAGAGTTACTGCAATTATTATAAACAGTGCATTTTATTTAAAAAAAGTCTTTTTATAACGCATATGCTTTATTTATACATTTTTTTCTCTTCTATTTATTTTTTATATAACTAATTATTTCGTCTCGTAGTAGCAATCGATTCTTCTCTTGTATCTGCGTTATTTCTTCCGAGGAACGCCCTAAATGTAATAAACATCTTATATTGCATGCGATACGGTATCTTCTTCGAATCAGTTTAGCATATATGATTTTAGACTAAATAATAAACAAATTATTCATAAATACTGCGCCGAACGTCCATCGCAGCCAAATTTATAATCAGTTATACGTGAAAAAATGACTAATTTTCTGATAAAATAAACTAACAACTATTAACGATTATTAACAATATATTCCTTTATTTCCCTAAAATTACAACAAAAAATTACATGTGCATACATCCGCATATAAAAATTTTTTAAAAATCGATGCCGCGGGCGCCCGCCGACCTTGCTACGGCACCATCGTTTCGCCGCGCGTGCCAGAAAACGAATTTTGCCTCGCCTCGTGAAAAGAAAGATACGTTGGAGAGACAAGGATCTATCTATCCTTGTCTATAGCTTCCCAGTTCGCCACCAGAGGTCCCCATTATCGGATTTTGGCTTTCTTGAAAATGAAAACGAATTTTGCCTCGTTTCGTGATAAGAAAAATACGTTGGAGAAACAAGGATCTATCTATCCTTGTTTATAGCTTCCCAGTTCGCCACGAAAGGCCCCCATTATCGGATCTTGAGTTTCTTGAAATCATAATTTAACGTTTAACAAACTTACGAAGTTTCATTAAAATTGGAGGGGGACACTTGCGTGCCTTTCCTTGTTACTCCCCATAAAAATGTCTCCCAGACGCCTTCTTCTGTATAAGAAGAGAACCAATAAAGTAAAGTAACTTTTCAAGAAAAAAATTTTCGAAAATTTTTCCCTCGCCATTTTTTATTTGTTTTATTAATAACAAAAGGGTCAAAAGAAAATATTGAGATTAAGGGTCAAAAACTAGAGGCTTGAAGCTTCAAAATGACTATTCTATGCTTGCTGCGATGACTTTTAGTGGAGACAAAGCAACTTGAATATGTCCTAAAGATTTAAGGAATTTTTCTGTTCCCTTAATTCTATTGAGTAGTGTATCTTTGAAGTTCAAATTATTATAAATTTATTTAAATTATACTATTTTTTAGACAATACAATATAAGTATGATGTAGATATAATAGGATTTGATTCTCTAATTTTAATCATATAACACTATGATAATGCTATAATGGGAATCAAAAACATCACATATGTGGTATTGGTACACCAAACTTGGTAAATTATAACAATTTTAACACTAAACCTACCATCGTATATGTACTTAATCTGAGATGAAAAATGGAGTGAAAAATGAATGATTTATGTTTTGTCGTTTAGTACACACACTAATTCTTTACCTTGATGAAGATCAACACAGGTATCAGAAGAATCAATACAACAAATTGTGTCATTTATAATAAGAATCTTGTGAAACGGTCATTTGACCAGTTTGGTAGTTTTAGTGTTAAATAATAAGTTATGGTGCAATAAAAATTGGTTTTATTTGAACATCAATAACTGTATTTAAAATTTTCAAATACAACGAAGCATTATAAGTGCTTTAGTTTTTATAAAATTTATTGAAATACAATGTAAATTGTTCATTTTAAAAATCTGATTTTCTTCGACACATCTTGTGTAAAATAAGGCACAAAAATAATTATACTTTTGTTTTTACAGTATTTGTATGATAACTAACTTATTACACAATTATCTGGTTTTACAAATTTCATAAAATGTGCAGTTTCTGTAGATACTGTGCCAGCAGACGTAACCGAATCTCGACGTGAAACGACTGGATGCATCGTGGTAGTAGTATCCAAAAATTCTTCATCGTTATCGGAATCAATATCTTTATCTTTTGATTGTCTTTTTTGTTTTATGTCATGAGTATATTTTTCAATCATTTGCTGATTTTGAAATGGAAGCACATTGTCGTTATTTATTACATACGGTAAACTATCGTTCATTTCCTGTTGTTGTTTGTAAACCGTTTCAATATACATTCGTTGCAATTCAGCCAATGCTTCATCCATGAATCGCACATTTTGTTTACGATCTGGTAAAGTATTACTATTGAATTCACTTGGTTTACTTAATTCACAATTTAAATCTTTATTCCTTAAATTTCCAGTATCTAACATTGTAGTTGTAAAACCTATAGGAAAATTAGGTTTTTTATTTATTATGCTAGACAAAGAATTGTATGTTGTTTTAGGTTCATTTTTTATGTTTGATATCCAATTTTGAACATAATTCTCGGTAGTTTCTGTTTGAGTTTCTCTTGATGGAATTTTGGTCTGTGTTGAAGTAAATGTCTTATTATAAGTAGCTGTACATGCATCCTGATGTTCTTGTGTGTTTAATTTATTTGAATGTCCATTTCGTTGTTCACTTTGCGCAATAGTCTTTTTCCAACTATCTGTATTCATTACAACCTGCATTAATGGCTGAATTGTTTGTTTTGCTCCCACCGTACATGTTTCATTGGTATTAAATGCAGTTCCAGGTTTTGCTGGTGTAGATGTACTGCAAGGTTCGTCAAGCGCATATGCAGATTGAATATTTAACTGACGCAAACGTTCAAAGCTTTCTCCTTGTCCTGCTAATAAATTATCATGGATAGTTTGTAAATTTTCATCACATCTATTTGGACCATTATACCAGTTGATAAACTGTTCTGAAGCCCGGCATTCGTTTTCCAAAAAAGCTGCAGTCAGTATCATTGCTGTAGTAGGCTCTCGTTGTGTAAATAATTTTTTACGTGCACTTAAATTTTGACTTATTATTGTTTCAAGACGAGCATTTTCTATTTTCTCTTCCAATTGTTTCTCTGCTTCCAAAAATTTTTTAGTTTCGTACAATATAGCTCTTATATCCATAGCTTTGTCCAATTCTTGAGCTATGCGTCTTTCAGCAGAGGACTGAGTACGACTATCCACATTTACAATAGGTTGAAAACCTAAGCGTTGCTGTGCTTTTACGAAAGGAGATTGTGATACTGGTCCTAATTTTGACCATATAGTACCAGGCTTTTTTACTGGACTAGTTATAGGCGAAACAATACCAGGTCTAGTTGCTATAGGATTGTGATTAATTAATTCAATATTAGAACTTGGCATTGTACAAGGTACACGACAAGGTTTTGGTGGCACTAAATCTAATTTTGGAGGAACAACTCCAGGTTTAGGAGGCGGTACCAAAGACGTTATTACTGGTGCTGGTGGTACTGAAGACATTCCCGGATCTAATTCTGAAGGTTCTTTCATTTGTGTAGAAACATGAATAACTTTCAATAAATCGTCTAAACGATTTTCAAGTCTATTTTGGCGATCTCTATCTATATCTAAGAATTTTGTTACCATATTATTTTGCGCAGTAAGAATCTGAAATTATATCGAATTTATAAACAATTCATTTGTTTTATATAGGCTCACATGAAAAAAGAAATTAGTATCTTACCTTATTAACAACTTCATTTTGGGAATTAATAGCACTTAACACAAGTTGCTCTAATTTTTGAACTTTTTTCTTTCTTAATGGAACATATGGAATATCATCTGTATTAACAGCAGTATCTTTACATTTATTATTATTTTCTGATGGAGTTGGTGAATTCATTAAAAGTTCTAATATGCTGTCATCATTGTATGTTGCATTATTTGTTATTATAGAAGCATCTGAATTTGGTACTGTTAAAGGATTTGCCACTTGTATGCATTTATTGTAAGTTTCATTTGTGTTATCAATTTCTTCAGTGTTTTTTGACTGACAAAAAGCATCATTTAAATTTTGCGACACATTTTGCGAACAATCGGAAGACAATGATTCAGCTTGTTTTTTATTTGCAACAGCAGGCATATGAATTAATAAATTACCATATTGCTGTTTGTACGCAGATGTTAAATTATGCTCAAATGAAACCTTTGTAGGTTCTTGAGGCACTGCACGATTATTTATATCTACTAATTGTTGAAACTGATTCTGTCGTTGAATTACATGTTCTAACCTAGGATTTTGTATTGTTACTGGTTTAATTTGTATGGGAACATCTACAGATTGGGTTGTTAAGCCTTGATGTAAATTTTGTGAAAGATTTAAATTGTTTACCAACATATTTTGTTGATCATGCATACAACTTCGTTGTAAATTTTGATTCTGCTGCAAATTTTCTTGGTTTATTTGATTTTGCTGCATATTTTCTTGAATTATTTGATTTTGTACATTTTGCACTGTATTTTGGAAGGGTATTTCTCCATAGGAATAATTAGATCTAAAACTTTGTTTATAATTTGCATGCAAAGGTTCTTCTGATAGAAAATTGTGTTGGGTTGATTTACCCACTCCCTGAATTAACTGTTCGCCAGTGTTAATAGCTACATCTCTTGTAGGAGAGAAAACTCTGTAAGGTCGAGCTATTACAGTTTCATTTGATTCGGGAGAATCTGGATATTCATTTTCACCTAACAAAAAATATGCTTGAAATATTTTGTAATGTTCAAAATAATAAAATTAATACAGAAAAGTATAATCTTTACGTGTTAAAGTCCAAGTTGGTGATAATGTTTCTGAACGATGAAATGTTTGTATAGGGTCTTGGTATTTATATCTCACTTGTAAATTCTTGGTTGTTTTGACTTCTTTTGGTGGAGATCTCACATTTATTGCAGTATCTAGAAAAAAGGAAAAATATAAAATATTTATAACAATTCATTTAAACTAAATTAAATGAAAGTGATTCTTAAAATTAAAAAAAGCAAAGATAAAATAAATGATAACGAATAATATAAATTTTAATTCTTATAAACAATATATCTTACCTACAGTATCTATACCATTTACATTATTTTCTTCTAAACGTTTATTTTTAAGGACTTTATCTATTGATTCGTAATACTGTTCGATACCTGCTCGAGTACCAGCCCTTTTAGCTTCGCGATAACAAACCAGAACCTGTTTCATTCGAGATCGACATTGTTTACCAGAAACGTTGTATCCCTTTTTTTTCATATACCGCGCAATATTTTCCCAAATAAGTTGAGGTTTTGATGCATACTCCAGTTGTTTCTGCACCTGTCTATCTAACCACACTGATACTAGCAATGCAGTACTTTCAGGGCTCCATTTATACTTAATATTATCTCCAGAATCGCTCATTTTTCAAAGAATGAATTGAACAATTTTAATTTAGTATATGAGTAACAATATAACATACGAGTGAAATAATGCAAAAAATTTGATTAAAAACGCAATATCAACAAGTGCACTTATATACAAATTTATGTCCAATCAAATGACGACAATTTTTACCAACACGTCCAACGCACACACAAGAATTAACTGAACCAACGAACAATTCAAATTTTAAAGCACTGTGCAACAGGTGGTGGGAAGAAGTGCATTCCATAAAGTGCGCAACTTGCAGTGAAAGCAAGTCTAATACAATTATAAAATTGTACATATAATGGTAGCTACATAATAAATATAATTATAATTAAATTAATACTGAAATTAAATCTAGCGAAGGTAAAAAAAATTAATTCCTAAATATAATTTTTTTTACTTGTGACGCGACAAGCGCACGTGCCTTGCTGCTAGAGATGGCGTGCAAATCAATAACGATGATTTATCACAGTAACCGTAGAATCGTGCTCCTAATTTTCTTATCTTAAATAACTGATTATTGTGATAATAATTTTTATTATATCTTGATCTTGATGGAAATATTTTTTAAATGAATTCTAAAATGTATACAGATAGCATAACTTTGTGTTCTGAAATATTAAAAATAGAAAGTAATTTAACTTACTGTTCCTTATTTTATATCTTAATAGCATAAGAAAACATGTATGTTGCAATTATATATATGTTACTTTCCACTTTGATTAGAATAGAGGAATATTTGAAATTATATTATAAGTATATGTGTTCTGAACATGCGACTGACATTCTTTGGTGACATAAGATATTAAAGAACTGTAGACAGACACTTGAAAATGTTTTGAGAAATTTGAAATCAATACTTATTCTATATAGAACTAGTCTTTTTTGAGCAGTGCATATGACATATTGAGTTCTGTAAAAATAAAAGTAAATTAATTATTCAAATAAAAGTTTTAATAAAAGAAAAATTTGTTGGAAATCCTAACGAACTATCCGACTTTCTCTTCTACATCTGGC